TAACTATAGGCACTGGCGTCCTCCGGGAACAAAATTATATTTCCCAGAGCGTCGGCTTGGGTGCAGATGCGAATGTCCACCGCATTGCAAACAGAATCCTTGAAACAGATAGCATTACAGATGCGGTATAAATGCGAGGGAAACGTGACCGCTTTAATAGTTGAGATTAGTATGTTCGTCCGCTGATTCCTTGTACAAGTATTTGCAAAATATCTAACTGGCCTATCCTGTCTGATATGGAAGGTAATTATCAAACCTTTGAGACAGGCGGAAGAAGTTTCCAGAAGCACTTTGCCCTTGGAGAACACATGCCCGTTCATTAATGTCTTGTAAAATGAATGCCTGTCACGCAACACGCTACCGCCAACTACCGTTTACGCTTCTCGGTTTCCCTGATCGGAGTGCGCAGACCGTGTTGCTTCCCGATGATGCCTTTCCGTTGATCGCTCCTGGCAACTTAGGAGTACCGTACATGTGCTGTGCCTGCTGACAGAACTGCATTTTTTGTGTGAGAACATGAATCCTAGCGATAATGTCAACGCCTCAAGGACGAACACATCAAAGGCGATGGTCTCGGACTTTGCTTGGACGTATTATACCATTGGTGGGTTGATTATATGCTTCGTGGCGATTGTTTTCAATACCATGGTGCTGTCCATTCTTATCCATAAACGCGAGTTACTGCTGAACCCTTTCTACATCTATATTTTCAATCTGCTGGGTACAAATCTCGTGGTGCTGATAAGCAACGGTCCGCTGGCGATGCTGGTCGGAGGATACCAGGTCTGGTGGTTCAGCATCACCTTCTGTGACTTGTATTTATACTTCTCCTATGTGGTGGGATCGGTTTCGCTGCTGTGCCATCTACTGATTACGATTAACCGGCTTTGGGCGGTCACGTTTCCTGTCACGTATAAACGAATGCACACCAGGTACCCGATTGTCCTTTGGTCACTATGCAAGCGGCAGCAATAGTTATTAGTAATTAAATAACTTCAGCCAGTGCCATTGACCTCCGTGCCTAGTTCTACATCTGGCTCCTTCTAAACCAACTTTAATTTTTTTATTCAGTTATTTATAAAGCTGACTAAAATCAGTTAAAAAGACAAAACAGTACATTACCGGAAAAACTAGCATAGCTGTATTTGCAGTACTTGTACTTCAGTATGAATAATTTTAGCTTAAGTATGTTTCTTCATTCATCATTGATAGAAATCGGCGTTTTAGTTATATGAGCTAACGCAAAATTTAGGAGAAAAAAATGAAACTTTTTTGTATTTTCTGTATCGTTTCTAGTTTGTTTTTGTGGTAACAGTACCTCCTGTTGCGAGTAAACTGGATTTTTATTCCAATATTTTTCAGGAAGGTCGGCGCTCTTATTTGTCTTTCAATGTGGATCGTTATCCATGCGTTAATGCTGCCAGGAGTAATCATTAATAAATTTAACGCGCTACCATTAGAAGATTATGGCTGCATGATCAACCTAATCACCAGCGACAAATTGATAGCATGGAATGCCGCCACGGAAATTATCTTCACGCTACTGATTCTCTTAATTGTCACCGTGTACCCTTTCATTCTCGTCAAGCATCATCAACGGCAGCGCATCCGCCCCGGTGTGTCTCACCAACCGATTACTTCCGTTTCTCTGTGGTCGACGTTGCGGCAACGCTTTCAATCAACGGAATCTGGTAAACCGTCTGACAGAATCTCGAAGTTGGTCTGACTCCTGGCTTTTCTTAGGTGACGACGCATTACGCAATATGGAAGACGGCAGTTTAGCTAGTGTGCAAAGAGGAACGGGATAGCGGCTTCGTATCTCTCATCGGAAACGGCAGAATGCCAGCGCCTTCTGGGTGTTGACTCTATCAACGGCTTCAGTTTTCTTTTTACTGACGCCCTACTTCCTGTACAATTGTTTTATCAGCTTTGGCGGGGTTTATGATACCAATATTTTCAACATTGTCACAATGGTGTATACCGCGCAAACTGCGGTCGATCCGCTGCTTTTTATGCTGGCATTAAGGGAGCTGCGCAACTTCCGGAAAAGGCAGCTCTTCTAACTAGCAATGCATAAAGTACGATGCTGTCTACAGTGTACTGTAGGTTAAAAAATTTAAATTCTGCGTTATAAATAGGCACAAGAAAAATGCTACCTTTACTTTCCTACTTTAACGATTAGCACGAACAACCAGACGATTGACCACCAGGAAATATTAACTATTTTGCCTTTACAGTAGACACATGTTGGTATTAATGATTGGATAAGTAATTGAATATCGATGTACTGAGCCCCATCGCATATCTTTTCCTCTCTTTCGGTAATGCTAGTTGTTCAGTTCAATTAACCGAGCGCTGCTTGTTAAAACGTGCTATGTGGCTGTTAATGGCTACTTTGTATAACGGGTCTAACTCGATAGCTTTGACCGGGTTTTATTCAACGGTAAGATCCTCCAGCTAAACGCCTTCTTGTCGGTCATCTTCTGCGATACTCTCTTCTACCGAAGAGGCGCCGTTTTCCGTTGATTCTTCCTCGGAGCTTCCACTGCACTTATCGTCTTCGGACGATGGCTCGGATTCATACGGGTCGTACTGACGAGTCGGGCCGTCCTTTTTTTTCGAATTCCACGCATCGCGCCAAAGTCGCCAAACAGATTTTGTTCAGTTTGTTCATATCTAAATCACTGAGGTTGTCCAGTGTCCACTTCTTGTCGGAACAGTATGCACCCGAACGCGGATCACCAGTCTGGTACTTAAGCAAAATCTGCACCAACACATTAAATTAACTTGTAATCACCACCATTATCAACGCGTTGTATTTATACGAGTACGTAGAAGAAACCCGGTAGGAATATACGTAATAATACTCTGGACACGTCAATATCGCACAAGTGTTAACGTAGTATAGAACCGGCACCTCTGTAAGTCTCCTTTTGTCAGCATTGTAATCCTCGTTAATCGCACTCTCAGTCCACTGCGCTACGGTATCATATCCAGAAGGTCAGAACAATCCATGTTCCGCTCAAGTAGTTCCCAAAGCTCCCCGGCACTGGCATTCGCATTCTTCAAGCTGAACGCTACGATATGGAAGGGGAATGTATTGTCTGGGTACAACGAGCAGCGCATTTGACAGGGCGCCGACAGAACGCGATCACAGACGGACGCCAAAGTGGCATATGTATTAGTATGATTAGAGGTAATCGTCTAATCGTAAAGCGATGGACTGATATGGGCACTTGCTAGCCATCGTGCGACAGTTTTATAAGGTTCAGTAATTGAAACGTCCGGAAGCGAAAGTACGAAGAATAAAAGGAAGATAATGGATTCGCTATGACTGGATGCGCTTGTGGCTCAGTATAACCATGCTGTAGAAAATGGCAAAAAAGCAAAACAAACAAAACCATGCTGTAGAAAATGGCAAAAAAGATCTCCCGATCCAATCCGTTTACTTACAAAAGGCATTATGGAGTTGACTTTTTTTGTGTCTTCCGTCTGAAAGGCACTCAGCTCCTGTTAACCACAGTGTTACGAATGTGATAAAAAAACAGATAATGGAAAGAAAAAAACAGATAATGGAAATTAGCTGCAATGAGACAGAGAAAAATTTCGGGGTAAACTGCTTGGCATTTTTTCTCGTGGTGTACAAAATTCACCGGGCTGTTTCAGTAAGTTTTCTTAATTTTGTGTGAGACCTTTCATGAACCATGACATTTGTTACAATGTAACATTAAGCATTCTTTTTCTTGCAATCTAGATTTTTACTAGAATAACGTGTTTAAACCGCATTGCAAGAATAAGAACCGACTGAGAGCAGGAGCCAAAAAGAATTCTTCTTAACAAAAACGTATTTGCGCCGCCATATGCGTTCGATTATAGAATATCTTAAGGTTTTGCTAATATGACGTTCGCAATAATATTATACGAGCTTGTTGTTTATTTTGCTGCCCATTTATGTGATTTTTAATCGCTGCTTACAATTATCTGCAGCATGGATGGTTGCAAACTTCTAGTCATTGCACTTTTAAAAGTTTTCGCCTGTACACAGGTGTCTATAGACTGCGATGGGTGTTACCGTTCGTCAGGAATTCTTCCTCAATTGCACGCAAAGCAGACGCACATATTATGATCTTTGATTCAGAGTGTCTGATCGGTGTTAATGAGGCGTTCCTTTCATACACAAACTACAAAAGCTTTTGGCAATAGTAGAACAGCAGAAAAAGAGATGAGCAAAGCAACGGTTCTTTCTTCTTGTCAGCGTTCATCAGGGTGCGCTTGCCATAGTAAACATTTTTATCATGGCAAGAGCGTTGTGATGAATGAATGTTATTTAATAACATCAATAGCACAAAGTAACAACGCGCTGCTTAACGCTGCTACTGCTTGTGGTGAACATTTCTTCGCTGTATAATGACCGACCGCAAAACGCCGGTGTGGAAAGCTCCCGTATCGGTCGCTGTTTGGCATGTCCTTAACTCCTTATCCAACACATGAATGGTCAGCCGGTGGCATGCACACAGGCGGACCGGTCATGTGCAAGACATGGTCGATGCATTCAAAGATTTCCTAATTAATTAGTGATATTTTTAAAGCCTCGGCCCTGTGCTGCACAGTATTGTTGTCACAATATGTATTGTGAAAACAGTCTATGAGAAGCACGAATCAATTAGTGAGAAACTGTGGAACATAAACTGTGCAGTAAGCGCATTTATGCTGGTTTATGCACTGCTGGTTTTTATGCATATTTTTTACACAGTCGCTGCAAGTTGCATGTGAAATGAGATGTCGGCTGTCAATAATAACACAGTAACCATGCTGCACTGCTTTTCTCCACATCGCATATTGATCAGAAGCATAAGATAATGCCTGGTCGAAAGGCGCGACTGAGAGATAAAACTTGCTTTCTGCAGTTTTTTGTTCTTTTGCCGGTACACTATCGGTTAAGATCTTTTGTCAACAATTGCGGTCACTGTCCGTAAATAATTCGTTTCGGTCTATGAAAAAAGTGGTCCAGACTTCAGAAAGCGCATCGTTTTGATTTTTGAAAAGTGAAACGGAAGCATTTATCGATCACAGTGCAATTCTGCAGTACCAGATACTCTTCATTAAGGGCATTCGTGAATTTTGGCCAGATCGAGAAATTCTAACACCGATACATGACAAAAGTCCGAAAACCGAAAACGTTTCCGCAGTCTGAATTCCACTAGGTAGTGTAGTTAATAACTGAAATTCCACTACAGTCCACTGCCCAGTGCACGCAAATGATTGCCAATAAAGTCAGACGAACGAAAATGACAAATTGAATTTATTATAAAATTTTTTCATGCTGTTACAGTTGCCGCACTATTCTTCGCGGAAATATAAACCTTTAATGAATCATTCACTAATGAATTGTTAATCGAAAGCATTTCAATAAACGGGCTATAGGCCACAAGAAGCGTGGGGGTGAAGACGAATTTACACACATTTTAATGTTTGCTTTTTTAATGTTTAAAAATTTGATGCTTTTAATTAGTGTATACCTAAGCAGGCGAATTGTTATGTATGCTGGCTGAGGCCGAATAAAATTATTTATTTAGAAGCATAATACGATAGAGCTAACAATGTAAAGCAAAATATGCACTTAATGATTTATCTAAATACATAAAACGAAAACAAAATTTGTTAACTGACTGCATGATCGCGTCCACGTTGGTTTTGCGAAGAATCTTCGTTTTCCCAAAGACAACAGGATAGATAAAAGTGATTTTTTCCAGCGGCAACTTATGCGTAATGTATCCATACAGAGCGCGCTAATAGTAATCATTGCCAATGATATAGACGCATAAATATCCGAGTGCGGGTCCGCGAGTTCGGCAGGCATGATCGAGAAAAACTGGCAGCGACAGCGCATTAAGGAGGACGGAGACCGCAAGGATCAGGTAAGCAGCCAGTTTGGGCGTACGCCGCACTCAGTAGCTGATTGGAAAGGTCACCGCCCAGAGGCGGCTGATGCTGATCAGGACAAAGACGGAGGCGATGCTCGCTCTGGTAATCTGTGAACAGTGTTACTAATTATGACAAATAAGCAGCAGTATTCGCCAAATATCCAGCGGAAATCGAAGAAATTGCTAATTTGCGCCACATTTCTGTTGCAAGATTTCATGAAAACCAACACCGGCGCGGTCACAATGTAGCTGTTGAAGGGCGTCCAGAGTTGTGGAGATTTGATAAAGACTTTCAGAAGGAATTTAACTGCTGCTGCTGTAGCTAACCATAGCCAGAACAAAGTATAAGTAGCCCATGTACTCTGTAGACGATGTTTTTCAGCGCTACGGATGAAACACAGATGAATGAATTAGGCATGTTACTCTCGTTAAGAAGTGATGTATTGGCAAACTATCTCGTGCGGGTGGAAACAAGATTTCCCGTAATGTATGAGGAGGAAACTAGAGGCTCGCTGCGAAGTACTAAGAGCAGCAATCCCATAATTTAAAACCTGATGGTGGATGTCTGCCTTGCCTAGTAAGCCATTTCTTTTGCACACAAGACTTATCCGCATTCGCGTTTAGCGTTAGTCGAACAACGAAAGAAGAGAAAAGGAAATCCACTGTTCTTGTTTGGTTGTGAGAATTGTAGCTCTTATAAGTTTAAAAATGCACTGGACACAAAGCTGATGCACAGAACGACAACCCGTTCCTAAACTAAGCCAGAATTTAATTTCCGTAACGTATCTGTTTTGCTGTTTTGCGACTAATAGAAACCAACAGATCCGTAACCTTTGTCGTCAAGTACCGGTCACCCACACGGTTAAGCGTGATGAAAAAGTGACCCACCTGGAGCGTTCGGCTCCGCAAATCCTCCATGGATGGCGGTTTTCGAATCTGAACGTGTGGAAGCAGCTCGCGAACGACATACCCGTCCAACATAACCTCGACCAGGGCGTACATCTCCAGACCTTCAAGCGGGCCAGGAGAACGTGGGCGGGGTACCATTTCCACGGCTGATCGGGACTGGCGCGTAGAAGCGCCTGAACGTTCCAGCGGCTTGACTCTGACGGATTATTATCTCGCCGCTCTCTCGGTAGCTCGTCGGTTGGTCTAGGGGAGCACTGGAAAAGCTTTCCGTATTCTACCGAGACCGCTGTATGCGTTGGGCATCCAAAATCGACGATCAGACGCGGAGGATTCCCCTCGATTTCCTCCAAGTCGATAACATGGCCGTTCTGGAGCATTCCGTTCACTTCCATGTCAACGGCATTCAGTTCGTACACAAGGCGATCGGCACCTTCGTATAGGTGCATCTTCTGTCGCGTTCGTTGGATATTTCACAAAGCAGAACTATTTAAAATCGAAGTGGTTTTCTCCATCAGAAGCTACAGCGTAAAATTGCTCTTGTATCTGTAAACTGTAAAGTATTACAGATTATGGTCCTGAAATAGCAAAATCCGCCAGATAAATAATTGCGAGGTGGGCAATAAATAATCAGGGTTATAAATAAGATAAATAAGCATACACTACAGAGTGACTCGGTCTTATCTATTTTCGTACACTTGTTCTAAATTTCCGATAAGCGATAACTGGTACGCGATGACAGGCTTTGAACTAATATATGGCATATTTCCCTCTTTTGCAGTGCATACGGTTTTTCTTTTCGTCTTTGTTGAACGGTGTTCACGGTCGTAGGTATATGTAACGGCGGTGTAATCTTTATTAATGCGACCTGCTCGCTGCTGAGCCAACTAGACAAACTAAACATTAAGCAGGGCAACAACAACACCGTTGCTACGGCACATTAGCACAGCCCCTTATCCCATTAATTTCTTGAATTTCTCTGTAGTGTGTAGAGTAGACTCTGTATTAAACGTCACTGTACGGGTACGTACAGTCATACACTACATTAATTTAACAATCGTGACAACTGTTATAGTTATTATGAATGGGAATAGTATCGACTACTACCAGTCTTCCAAAGTACCTTTATTATGAAAGCTCTGGGAGTTCGCAAGTCCGTAGACAGTCAACGATAGCGATAGAATAGGGGAATGTGTAGTGAACAGTTCTTGGTTAACATTTAACGGCATTATTAGCTGAAATAAAAACACCAACACATCAGTTTAAGTGGGTGGTAATCTACCGATATTCTGGGTTTGCCATATCAAAACCAACAAAATTCAGAAATTTGCGATAATCGGAAGATAATGCGCAACAGTATGTGTCGAAAGTTATCGAACACCGGTTTCCAAAAACCCTGAATCGAACCAGTACCAGTACATATGCTTATCATTATATTATGAGCCTTATTCATCATGTTTTCCGGTGTACAATAATTCATGTCGCAGATTTTTCTGTATCAAGCCTATGCAGGAGTAACTGCTAGAAGTTGCACTCCAACTTGCAAATCTTGTCGACCATGGGCATCGTCACGCAATGTGGAGTTATCGTAGTGCAATGGCCACGCTTAATGGACTCGGACGTTATGCTAACGTGCAGCGTGCAACTACGCAGCTGTAATGTTGTGTTTATATTTAGTATACTTAGTACAACAATGTATGCATTTTTTTCCACTTAAACACTTCTGCTCTTATATCTGACCGGGCTTGTATATGCTGTTTCGTATTTGCTGCCTACTGGCAGTGCTTTATATGCACTAAACATTCGGCTCGCATAAAATTTTTTGTAATCGTTAACAAATGTTGAAAATTTATCAACCTCGACAGACCCATCGAGAAAAATGTGTAAACAATTTTAAACAAATTCTTGCAGTTATATGTATCTGTATTCCCTGTGCATTAATTTGATGATTCTATTTTTGACAGTGCCACAACGGAATCGGGTAAGGTGACCGCAACCGATCTCGAGGGAGCTGTTAGTACGGCCGAGCCGGCAAGCCCGCCGACATTACCCCCCTGCGACAACGCTCCACCCAAGAAAGGAGCTCGGCGTCAGCGCCGGAGTCCGGTGCTGTGCGCGCTACGCGGCATCGCCTCGTTTTGTTTCATAAACATTAACTGGAAAATGTTAAAACAAAGCTAACTTAAAACTGTGGGCTGCAGTAAGATGCACGTTTGTCACAGGCAGGCCGCAGAAAGATAGCCGGGTTAATAGTGGAAGGAAACGTGTGCATAGCATTTTGCTATAAAATGTTATGCAACATTGCAATAACGTGTTTTGGGCAATAGAAAAATTAAATCTGCCATCCACTTACACGAATTCAATACGATCTATTCCCTTAACAAGTATGCTCATTCTGTTGCTATTTGGCCGCTCGAATTAATTTTATCTGCTGAGCACAATGACAACGGTTCTGTCTCACTACAAAATCTACTGTGCGGTTTTCATCATCTTTCGAAGAGGCTCACAGTTTCTGCTGTCTGCCGATAACGCATCGTTTGCCTCTGTCACACAACTGGACAACGCAGAGAAACAAATTTTATTCACTTTCCAAATATCTAAACTATCCAGATTGTGTAACGTCCAATTCCACTGGGAATAATGCGAAGAAAGCCGTGGATCGCCGGTCTGGTACGCCATCAGTATATATAAAAGATGCTCTTGTAGCATGTAAGCTCTTATTCATAATCGCTGATTATGCTAATACATAATCACAGTATCACCTTTATAATTCGATGACAGCCCACGGGGGATTTTTTCGTAATCTGATCCGCCGCCCACTTGCTGACACGTTCCATATCCACCGGGGACGCATCGACCAAATTCTGCTCGAATATATCCCAAACGTGCTCTGTGTTAATGCTGCGCAGATGGAAGACTGCACGCGGAATATGGCAACGAATCACGCACTGCGCTGGGCAGTTTAGGTTTAGGGTACAGTTCGTCCAGATTATCCACTCACACCAGGATGCCATGGAAGAATAAGTTGCTGACAGATGGTCAAAGTTGCCCTGTAGAGTCCCGCGAGGAATACGTAAGCCCTGGAAGGTAACGTGGGCGACCTCTAGTCGAACACTTATATTGCGTTGTCTCAGAACCAAGCGGTCAAGCCGGGTGCCCATGGCTTTTACGACCCGGCCAATGTATCCAAGGGCTTGGCCCGCGTTAGTTTCCTCTTCAAAGCGGATATTATCTGCCACAATGACGGCGGTGCCTCTTATGGCGATGGTACGCGTGGCTGGTGTAATGTGCTTGAAGATACAAGCATATGCGCCATAATTCGATTCTTCGATTCTAGTCGGGATAGTGTTTCTGCTTTCACTCAGCCTTACGCGCAGATCGCGGCAGAGTTCCGGTAAATTCAAAATAGTGTCCCACAGTTGGCAGGTGCGTCCACAGCGCAGCCGATCGATGGTGTCCATCGAATGGAAGATTTCCTGCAAAAGTTCCGGTGGCAGAAATTTTAGAGCCGGGTTGTCGGCGCTGGCTGATTCCATTTCATCCTTAATTCCGTTTCTCGTTAATGCAGTATCGCCTTTGAGTACGCAGTACTTCTCGAAAGCTGTGAGCACGCGATACTTCTCGAAAGCTACTTCAAGGTTTTCCACTGGAATGGTTTTGAGCTCATGAGCATGTGTCGGCAAAAACGTGTGAATTTTGCAGCCACAGTGCAAAACCGGGGAAATGTGATCATGATCAGTATCCCGAATAAACTGTACTGCCACCGCTGGATCTAATGGTATCCAGTATCCTTCGCTGAAACATTTGGAGCGGATGACAAACATCCCCGGCGCAAGTATTCGGCGCTGCATTTCCTCTTCCGATGACGGGTAGCGCACTTGCGACAAGTGCAGCAGTTCGCGATAACGGTTACCAGCAAGCTTCACTTCAACCAAAGCAAAGTCTCGCAGATAAAGGAATCCGGACATAAGCAGTTTTGCTGGGTACCATTTCCGAGGATGAATGGGAGCAGTGCGAAACAACACCTCTACGTCAATTCGATTCGCTCTCGCAGACATTTCGGGACAAGTGTCGCCCTGCTGTTTGAAAAGGAAATCAACCGATCTTTGTCCAATGCCCTGAATTCCTGCGCAATGGAAAATTCTCCCATATGTTACAGGCACTGCGCGTTGCTCGGGACAACCATAATCCACGATCAACTGCGGCACGGTTCCTTTGACATTTTCTAACCCGATGACGTGTCCGTGTTGCAGCTGACCATCCACCTCCACGTCCACGGAATTCCATGTGCACACACATCGTAATTCTTTTTCATACAAACACATCCTTTTTACAGGTTTCGTGATCTTTAAAAATTAAAATCACGCGGAGCGATTTGAGAACTGTTAGTTCGACTTTCCGGCCTTGAGTGAAACTTTCCCGGTTGTATCATGTACTATATATAGTACAAATATAACTCCTGCACGCGTCCTCTGGGAGCATTTATGTGGAAAGCCAGCTGACGTTCGTTCTAAATAATTTAGTCCAAAGTTAATGAATAATGTGTCCTTCGGTCAACTCGCCATTTCGAATAAAACACGTTGCACGTTCGAGATTAACTTGAACTTGCCGCGTGTTATACTGGCCATTGCCAATTTGCCATTATACATTTTTTTAATTTACACATATCGTTAGCTTTGGCGTACTGTAAAGAAAAGATGGGTCGGTTGACAAGTTAACTTTGAAGCCAGTGGAGCTGTTAATTAGGACAACCAAATGGAATTAACGGTACGCCAATCTGACGATAGGTGTGAATGTTACAAATTAAAAGTTATAATGGCCATGCCCAGTATAACACGCGGCAGGTTCAAGTTAATCCAGAACGTGCAACGTGTTTCATTCGAAATGGCGAGTTGACCGAAGGAAACATCAAAATCCTAATTTCGAATTTGAGATTTTGATATTTCCTGTTAGCGGGTGTTGCTATCCGATTTATTTACTGTATCATGAAGTACACGATATGAACCTATGCTTGCAGTGGATACTTAATTTTCTTTTATATGATGCTACAACCCAACCGCTTTCACCAGATTCCTATCAATAAAGCGAACCTCTTAACAGAGAGGCCATCTGACGATTAGCGGAAACGATAAGCAAGCCATTGCCAGGAGAACGCACTGTGAGAAAATGCCTACAACTTCAACGCCAGTTGAAAGAAGGGAACATCTTAGGTTCATAACAGAAAACAACCGATGAACGCCGTGAGCTTGGCTTCTTGGTATACTGCAGTGCATGATCTTATATTTTGAGTTTGAAGCATTTCGAAATTTTTACTGGAATACAAGAACATGTATTTGTACGTTTTACCAGAAAACAGTATGCAATATGTGCATACATGGAATTCCGTGGACGTGGAAATTGATGGGCAGCTACAGCACGGCAATGTCATCGACCTAGAAAGTGCGGAATGCGGTGTGGAGCGTCTGATCATAGATTTCGCCTGTCCGGCGGTGCCCATACTTTTCGGGGCAGTTTTCCACTGCAAAAGTGCAACAGATTTTCACCGATACACTTTCAAGGAGCTGAGCGACAAGTTGCCCAATGCGCCTGCTGGTGCCGAACACGTGGATGGGGAGGTGCTGCTTCGTGTTCAGCCCAGCCATCCCTGGAAATGGTATCCCGGTAAATTCCTCTTGGGGAGATTTAGAAATCTGTTTGATTACGCTTTGGTCGAAGTGACGCTAAACGTGTACCGCGCTCACGAACTGCTTCCATGGAAGCAGTTCGCGAGTGCGGTAAGCGTTCCACTGGCCAATGGAACAGATTTTTTTTATTAGCGCAAGCCAGTTTCACTCGTACAGAATATAAAGAGAATAAAAATAATTACAACAAAAATGGAACAGATACGCTTGCCGCTTTCCAGAAAGGAACTGGACCAAAGAAAACTTGAGCCTGGTTACTTCGCGCGGTGGTTGTGTAGTGCACCAGAAGCCTGTTTGGCACAGTTGGAGCCAGGAATGAAACTTCCGGTGATGGTATGCAATCGCATCGTGTTCTGTAATACGCAGACGGTCAGTTATTTCATGCAATACGATGATAGACCGCTCCCGCTCGATTTTGTTTCCAATCGACCTGAATTTCTTCAATTGTGTCTTAAGAAAGATCACAATGGAAACGAAGACAAGCGCAAGACGAAGTCAGCAGTAACGCAGCCAAGCTGATGCTGCCACGACACCTTGTAAAGGAGATTCTTCACTCGCTGGATACCATTGACCGGCTGCGCTGCCGCCGGATCTGCCCACTGTGGGAGGAGATTCTGACCTCGCGGGAACTCACTCGCGATATCGGTGCACAGATGGCGACGAAGAAACCGCTGAAGAATGCTGTACGGAATACCAATTACGGCGCATATGCTTGCATCTTTAGGTATATCACACCGGCAACGGTTTGCGCGATACCGTCGAGTGCATCGACGATAGTTTGCACTACCCACCGTTTGATGGTGTCACGATGGCCAGTGCAGCGCTGGATTGTATGGGTCTGGTTGTGCGCGCCTCTCACGTCCGCATTGAGCGCGTTATTCTGTCTCACCGCGATATTACTATCTATCGAGAGAGTGTTCGGTCGGATCAATGGGCACTGTCGAGGTATTTTAGTGATTTGGCCGCAACGTACTCCAGCCATGCGGTGTGGTGTGATCGCATTATTTGGACCAATTCCTCACTATCTTTTTCGTCTGCCCTCTACACCGTGCACTTCCGCATTCCGCTTGTGGTCTTCCATCTAGGCACCCTCGATGCGGTACAGGTTTGGGATCTGTTTGAGGGATACTGTTTTAGCCGGGATCGGTTAGATGTGGAGCGCATAGCGCATTGGATGAAGTTGCAGGCCCGGTCAACGTTCGTGCGGGGCTGCGCTCAGATCATTGAGATAACGTACGGTTTCTTCGCGCATATTCCTTCTAGTTGCAGTGATAGCGGTCGTTGTAGATTCTGAAAGTAAATCAGAGTTTTGATCCGCGACCAACTGCGCAGTATGCGCAGTGGAACTGGACTTTGGACACTCTTGACTGTTTGGATATTCGGAAGCTATATAGAATCTGTCAGTACGCTCTGGCCTCTTGTACAGACACTGTAGGACTCTGTATGACAGAATTGAGCGAGACGTCTTCATCGACCGGGCAAACTTCGGAGGGTGAGAAGAAGCAGAGAGCCACTGTCATGCTATTGTAAAAGAATTCGAAGCTAGGCCATAAAGCGTGGAAGACTTGGTTGTGAATGGACTTTCGGTTTACTTATGTTACTTACGTACGTACTGTACGCGTATGCAGGAAAAATGAGACATAGCGTATTTCGTGCAATGCGGTTCAAACACGTTATTCGTGTGAAAATCCAGACTAGAAGTCACTCTTAATGTCAGAATTCTTAATGTCGCATTGGAACAAATGTTATAGTTCATGAAAGGTTTCACACAAAATTGAGAAAACTTCCGAAAACAGTCCGGTGAACTCTGTATACCACGAGAAAAATAGCCAAAAGGCGTCAGTAGTTTTCACCGCAGTTTTTCTCTGTCTCATTATAGCTAAGTTTTATTATCTGTTTTTCATTTTTATTCAAGCACGTTTGTAACGGCATGGTTAATAGGAGCTAAATGTCTTTCAGACGGAAGATACAAAAAAGAGAAAGTCATCTGTGTAATGCCATTTGGACGAATAGGTAAATGGATTGGCTCGGGAGATCTTTCTTGCTATTTTTTGCAGCATGGTTTTGTCATACTGAGCCACAAGCGCATCCAGCCATTGGCGAAATCCATCATCCTTCCTTTTAATCTTCGAACTTTCGTTTCAAGACGTAACATTTACCGAACCTTATAAAACTGTCGTACGATGGCTAGCAAGTGCCTATGCCAGTCCATCGCTTTACGGTTACCTGTAATGCCGTTACAATGTCATAATATTACAACAGCTACTAAAATAACGTTTGTATATTCATTTCATAATCTTTATGACAAGCAGCAAGTGCACATGCTTGGGCGTATACCGGTATTGGGCATTTTGGATGACCGCTGGGCAAGCGTTCGAAGCTAATATACAACATCGATTAAGTATAAGTATAGAATATAGATATTGATAAGTACCAATAATATTAAGTGATAAACTCACCCAATTATGTGAAACGTAGTTACGTACGCCGAATAAACAGACAGGTAGCAACGCATATTTTTAATTAATTTACTAGCGCGTGCGTCGAAAATGATCTACAGGAATTCAACCCCACAGACATCATTATTTTGCCGGTCGTTAGATAGCGACTTGACCAGGTGCATTATCAGCACCAGAGCCGGAAATGTCTCTAAAATTTGGTTTTAATAATTCGTCTAGGTATGTATTCGCTGGGACGAGCATGACCGTACGACGTATGGTACAAAACGTTTTGATCTTTAGCATAAAAATTGCATTTTATTCATTTGTCTTTATTTTAGCAGTTTTCAGATTCTTTTCTGTTGGAAATGAATTACTGTCGCAGTGCGTACTGCATTGTCATCTTTTTTGTGACATGTAAAAAAATTGCCCTCTATTGATACTCTTCTATTAGCAAATTGTTGTGTTGTTATAATCCATTAGGTAAAGCTATCTACGAGAAACCAAAGCTAAAGCATCGTATTGAAAGTTATTATTTCATAGATAATTCTAGTTTTTTGGCATAATTATGTCATATTTTATTGCGCGCCAGAGGGATGAAGTACCAGGTTTTATCCCTTGCCATGCCAGTGGCAACGCCGTAGGCACTTGCCAGTGCCAGGTTTTACACTACAGTGGAACCTCCCGATCTTGAACACCCTCGGTACGTAATTTTTTGTTCAGTGTTCAGAGGTGTTCACGGCTCAAAGGTTACCGCCAGTGTTATACGTTACGACGGTACGAAAAAATCTGTTCAAGGTTCAGAGGTGTTCATCGCTTAGAGGTGTTCAAACTCGGAGGTTCCACTGTATAAGGTTTTTATGTAAGAAATATAAGTTTTTATATAAGTTTTTATATAAGCCCGGTTTTTATATTATAAGCAATTAGCAACTATCTATGGAATATCTTTTCTGATAGCATTTCTTTCCTTTATTGCTTTCCTGTACAAATACCTTTCCAGCGCTTTTGAGGGAGTACAGTGAGTACACCCTTCCTTAATTGCACGTAAAATGTCAAAATACCTGCACGTTGCCATCGCCTGAGCTTAAATGACATGTACAATCGTACAATCTACAAAAACAATTACGGCGCTACATACTACGTGTTACTTATCTCTTATCAACAACGCTGCATTTACGGCTAAACTCTTTTGGGGCATTGCTATACATTGTAAGATAGCACTGGATTAGCGCAGCTTCGTGTTACACAAGCGCGCTGTCCCGTGTGAAAGAAAGGCTTTGCTTCCCGCAGACGAAGCAAAACGTTATATATGGCGATAATGGCGTCCAATAAGTCCATCACACGTAGAAACGATTTCTAATCATGACAGACTGATCATCAGTTTGCAATAACAGCGACAAAAAACTATAATAATTTTTTCTTTCCGTATGCTAATCGGTCAGTTTTCCAAGTTCTGGATTGTTATCTATGAATCGAACATACAGTTGCAGGAGGTAAGTACTGTATCTGCACATGTTAGAGTAGATGGTAGCAAGTCAATTCTCTGACAACATACAGTTGCAGGAGGTAAGTACTGTATCTGCACATGTTAGAGTAGATGGTAGCAAGTCAATTCTCTGACCTCCGTTTTGCTGCCCGACAAGTTGCTGAGTGGTAATTTGTAAGTAATGGCTGATCGTTTACTCACTGACGGTGCGGTTACCCTCGGGGGCTCATTTCAATCAGAAGATTCTTCTGATTCTTTCGGCTGACACGCGCGCTTCTCTTTCCGGATGAGCTTGTATTTAAGGACAAACTCATATTCATGATCACTGTTGTTTGAAGTCGATTCACACTCCTCGTACATGCAAGAGGACAACGCATGGAGACTGATTTTGTTCAATTTGCTGACTTCTAAACTCTGCAGGTTGTCCGTTGTCCACTTGTGCCTTCTGTAATGCGTCGAAGGACGCGGATCGCAGCTCTGATAGTTGTCCAAAATCTAAACAACCAATTCCAGAAACGGTATGAGAAATGTTTAATTTATTTGCCGTTTACCCGTTATCGCTGTACATTGTACGAACCATTATAAGAAAGCGGCATTTGTGCCCAGAGTTCGGTTTAATACGTTCCGCTGTCCAATGCGCAATGAGCTCTAAATTCAGTGGTTCCTTAGAATACAGGTTGTCCTCAAATATATTCCAGACTTGCGCAGCATCTAGAGACGCCAGATGGAATACCGCAAACGGAAAGCGGAACGCAACGCGTGGACAGGGTTCATCTTTACATTCAATGATGAAACGAAGAAAATAGTCATACCAAATGACGCGGTCACAACAAGACGCCAACCCAGCATCTATTTCGATAATGTCGAGAAAGTAGTCATCCAGAGTACCGTCGCATAATACGGTGGACCACCAACGTCGCCATAAAATGAGCCGCTGGATGCGTACATCGGAATCCGTCAGAACTCTTGTGATATAGTTTACTAATGCCGAACCAGAAGTTGTGTAGCGTTCCGGGTGCTCAACCCGTCCGTCACTGTCGTCGTAGTCAAAACAACCGTCTCTCAAACTAATGGTGCGTGTTGCCGGGCTGAGGTGCTTGAAAATGCTGCTGTACACCGCGTAGTCAGGCTGCCACATCCATTCTGTGCGGGGTGAAAAAGTCCCCTGCACCAAGTTGACACGAATATCAGCGCACATTTGCTGGGAAGTGATGACCTCTTCCCACAGGGCGCAAACACGGCGGCAGCGCTGTCGTTGGTGGGTTTTCAGTGATAGAAAGATTTCCACCAAGAGCTCCCATGGCAATATTAAACCGTCCATTGCGATACCCTCGTTCTTCTTGCAATCCACGGTGCCCGGTGTGTTTTGCCCCGGAATCTCGTTTCCACCAGTATGATGGATCTGCCCATACAAAACGCATCAGCTGTACAAGCACCACAGTATAATTTACACAAACGGGAGCTAACGCTTTCGCGCAATCCCAAACAGTCTTTTGAGTGCGCGAAACAGCATCGTTATGAAATATCTTCCCAGAATCACACAACGAACACCAGACTACTCGTATTAAGATTTCGAAGGAGCAGACTTGTAGATCGTAGAACAGCATTTGTGGGAGCCAGTGGGGCTACTAATCGGCATTCAGTTGGGTAATGGCAGCTCAAACAAAATGCGAGAAGAGTCAAGGGCAACAAAATGAATCCAAAGCTTCGTCGCGGCACCACTCTTTTGAAATTTGCATGTACGTACGCATAATATATAGTTCAGATCATTAGAGTTATGCCATTTATGAGATATGTCACCGAATTAAATTCTGCCATTTTCAACATGCAAACCAAAAGCATGTCAAATCTTCACAATCCGTTTTACGATTTCCAAGTAGTATTCGTCTACACGATGATGTAAAACTGATCTCGTTATTATTTTGATGCATTTGGTGCAAAATTGGAAGAGCAGTCAAGAATGAGACTTGCTGTGGTCTGCGTTCCAATCATTTGGGATTCTACTTCCCCCAAGACTTCCCAACCGGAATTCTTCCACCCTGACGGTTCTAACGTTAATATTAACAACTTCGCAAGCCATTTGGCTACGTAATTTCGTACGACATTACAAAGAATGGTTGGGGATGCGCCACAGCGTAAGTCCCCATGCATTTAAACACAGTTTTGGCAGTACGCCAGCTAAACTGGCTAAAGTCCACAAAAGTGTTGACACCACTCACCACTTCCATGGCATTCGCCACCGTACGGCGTTGTACCCGCTGCCATAATTCGGAGACCAGGCGACGTCGCTTTCGCGAACTTGGGCCCCCCAAAACAGACCGTAAGCCAGCTGATTCCTCCCGGGCAATCGTGGTTAAGTATCTTTGCTCAGCGGAGGTATCGATATAAAAGTGACCGGAAGCTAGCTGTCTACGCTGGCGCTCTTCCGCCGTGGACAGCATCCGAATCTGTGTATACGGCAACATTTCGCGGATCCGGTACCCTGACACTTCTGCCTCTACCACCACTTGCACGTTTCTTGATATGGGGGGACACGGCAGGATTTTTCCAGGATACCATTTCCAGGGATGATCGGGATGATCGCGCAGCAGAACCTCCACTTCCGGTGGGTATGCCGGTTCGTTGGACCACCATTTCCCCGGGTAATTTTCCTGCACGTGTTCAGAGCAATCGTAGACTTTTCCGTATTCCACCAGGACTGGGTCCTGTCCGGCGCATTCGAAGTCGTTCACGAGACGCTGGGGATTCTGTTCGCCGTCAGTTACGTCGACAACAAAACCATGTTGTAACTGTCCGTTAATTTCCACATCCACCGCGTTAAATGCGTACACCGAACGGTTTTTACCTTTATATAGATGCATTGTTCGAATTGCCTGCAGAAATTATTTCCCTGCATACACTGTGTAGAAGTCTGATGCCGAATTATATAGACAGTACAGCCATCGCAAGTGTAGAAGTTTGAAATGGTATCAGCAGTCAACAATCTTTATTGTTATGTTGACCTATTGTGTGTAATCTCTTTTCAGCCACGCATAATTTTCCTTTGTATTCGCAACACAGATAAAGTTTCCACCGCTAGTATGCGCCGTAAGATAAGATCATGATAAACTCAGCGGACAGCAAATCAGGATAAACTCAGCGGATCATAATAAACTCAGCGGACAGCGGCGATTAAAGTTAACAGAAGTCAGAACAGCACCTTCGCACTAATTATAAGCACAACGTCACTATGTCATAACCTAAAAGAAACGTTGCTGTGTTCCAATGTTAAAGATTAAAATTATGATACTGCTCCAGCCGCAACGGGTCTTATTAAATTGCAAAAAATCGCTAGCCCACTGTTTGCAATGTCTGAAGAATAAATGCTGAGTAACTATAATTATGAGTGCACAGATCGCAAATCGCACGAATCTTCTGCTAGCTCTTTGTTACGGTCGTTTGTGAAAGGGCTGATTATCTGTATAGTAACCATTCTCGTGAGTTCGTTGATTTATAGCGCCATTTCCGGTTCGAATGAGTGGTCTGCTTCATTAGACTCTGCTAGCAAAACGTTCGTAGGTACCGTGCGCCAAACATGGTTCAAGAGTTAATAAACTCGCCGTTCGAATTCTTCAGCTCTTCTCAACAACCGGTCACCTTTATTACGCATTTTGCTTCATTCACTGCGGCGTGTCTCTGAAAAATCAACAATCAGTTTTCCTTGCTTTTTAGTGCAGCGTGTTATCATGGCAATCAAACGTTTTCTGTTTTATTTTTCAATATTTGTGGTTGTAATTTACAATGCATCATAGGTGAAAAATTATTTTGTCGAAACTGCATCGCACCACAAAGCGATACCATGGCGCATGGGGACTTTTGGCTGTGTGACAATTGTTGGTTCAGCGTGCGGTCAGTATAAGAACTGCAATTATCGGCGCCAGGATATTGTGCTATGCCACGGTTTAATCCCAAACTTATTGCTGTAAATTTACCTAACGATCGGTCACCCAGCGATTATGTCATATGCCATCCTTCTCCCATCGCCTTGTTCATTCTCATGCATGCGACAAAGCTCTTACCCACGCCTCCCGGCTGTCGGCGCTATTTTGCCGTATATTTATAAGGATACTGGATAAATATACAACGCTACAAGAAACGAGATACGTATATACTGGTGTCTGAGAGTCACAGGAACACAATTATGTCTCCCATGTCACTGGTTCCATTGAATATGAGAATATCAAACGCATTGCAGGTAGGTTATGACTTCTTGAAAGAGACAAAAAAATAGGAGGTGAGACGGCAACGCTCAGGCATACTCGTTCGACGTTGTGGGTTTGTTGATTGGTTGCATAATGCGTTGGTATCGTTGTTCCGCCGAATCTGACTACATGAAGAGAGCAATCGGCTTGACATTTGTGACAATTATGGTGTTGAGTACAATTATTAAACCTCTGGGAAATGTAAAGGGATATACCAGATGCACACGGTCCCAAGAGAACATACCCGTACTCGTTCTTTCCTGTCTTGCAAAAGGAGCGCATGTCACGCAAGATTCGGTGGTGAACTACATGTACAGATACCGGTTGCACTTTCTCGGTAAGCGATCACAAAAGTGCACCTTTCTTCCCACCGGTGTTTTATTTGCCGCTCATTCCCCGCAACTTCCTGTTAGCGCGTTTTGTCACAGTAATTTCTTAACACTAATCCATTTTTGGCTGCAAAATATGAACGCCAGCGAATTGGTCAATATATCAAGTATCAACGGATCAATGGCGAGCGTGTCGAGCTTCGTCTGGACGTATTACACGATTGGAGGGTTGGTGGTCTGCCTCCTCGCCGTTATTTTCAACACCGCAGTCCTGGCCATCCTTTTGCATAAACGTGAATTGTTGCACAATCCGTTCTACATTTACATTCTTAATTTGCTGGCAACAAATCTGGTGGTGTTGATAATTAATGGTCCGTTGGCGCTGCTGGTCGGTGGCTATCAAGTGTGGTGGTTCAGTATGGACTTTTGCGATGTGTACTTATACTTTTCCTATGTCTTGGGATCGGTTTCGCTGCTGTGCCACCTTCTGATTACGACCAATCGGATTTGGGCGGTTATGTTTCCCATCTCTTATAAACGGCTGCACACCAGGTAGGCCATCGCGCGGAAGTGCACAAGCAACTATACCACGAAACAATGCAGTAAAAATTTTAATTGGCTCCAGATCTGATTTGTCGGAAATTCAGGTCAAAAAAATTTTATTCCATGCAGGAAAACGCTGTATGAAATATACAAAATGAGTTTGAACAAGAAAATGTAAAGAAAAAATTAAAAGAAATTTTTCAAGCAATACAAGCGAAAAATTTTATAGCAGTACAGGAAGGGAATTTTAAGCAGCAGCTACCATAATAACGAGAAGTTTAGGCGCGGTGACGCAGCTTCAAAAACATAATCCAAAAATCAATATGAAGCAGAAAGCGTATTGATTTACAAAATCAATAACATCATTCATATGTAAAACAGAAATTTCATTGTGCATGCGTGACGAAGGAAAAACGCACCTTATCTGTAAATACGTTCATTATTTTAACAATTTTTCCTAGGTGTTTTTCGTAGTGATTTGTGCCAGTATTACTTTTTTAACAAATTTAAATAACCTAAGAAACCTGAAAAACCTAAGAATTCTAAGAAACATAGAATATTTCAGAAACCTAAGAAACTGGCTTATTGCAGAAAAGTTGCCGCCCTTATTTGCCTGTCAATGTGGATAGCCATCCATGTCCTTATGCTGCCGGGAGTAATTATCAACAAGTTCAACGCTTTGCCATTAGAAGAATATGGCTGTATAATCAACGTAATCTCTTGTGACAAACTGATTGCTTGGAATGCTGTCTCGGAAATGATCTTAACGCTATTGAATCTGCTTATTGTCACCGCGTATCCCTTCATTCTTGTCAAACACCATCGACGCCAGCGCATTCGTCCCGGTGCGTCACAGATGCCGGCGATTTCCGTTCCGCGCTGGTCGACGTTGTGGCAACGCTTCCGTCCAGCAGCAACCGGTAAACTGTAAGACAGAATCTTGAAATTGTCATTTCAAGTTCATGCTTTTTTAGGTGACGAAGCATCGCATAGCAGAGAAGATGGTAGTTTATCGCTCGGGCAAAGAGCAACGGGAAAGCAGCCGCGCCTCAGTCACAGGAAACGCCAGAACGCCAGTGCCTTCTGGGTGTTAACTCTATCAACAGGCTCGGTGTTCTTTTTATTGACGCCGTGCTTAGTATATACCTGCTTTATTAGTCTTGGCGGGGCATACGACGTGAATATTTTTAACATTGTCACAATGGTGTACACCGCGCAAGCGGCGGTGGATCCGCTGCTTTTTGTTCTAGCGTTAACAGAGCTGCGCAGTTTCCGCAAAAAGCAGCCGTAAAAATTGAACACTCGCTGATATATATACGTAATAAAAAAATACTACACTCACTTTTCAAGGGCAACAAAACATCCCGTGCTGAAAGTCTCCCTCTAGCGCATATAGAGTAAAAAAAAGCTTCCTTGTCTTAACTTGTACTGGCAATTTCTGCGCAGTTTATTACTACAGGGTAATAAACTCTATACTGTGTGTCCAAAAATTACAATACACACAGTATTAATGAGAAACAGAAAAAAACCTCTTTTTTCCTTCTTTTGTAAGTGTTACCAACTGTAAAGCGAGTGTTAAACCAATTTTCTCTATTAAATGCACACATGTGATATACGATTGTTTATTGAGCAGCCAAGCCGGTAAACGGATCCGCATTGTCAAAAATTTCGTATTTGCAACTGCATTTTGCGCAAAGCGGACACTTTACAAACAAAGGTTGGAACTGCGGTTAAACGGCAAATTCCAACCTCCCCGGCCGGCGAACAAATGGCAACCTCCCCGGTGTGACACCGTGAGATGACTGTGCACCAAGATCTGCTGCAGACTGCAGAGCACTTGCTAATTTCGAATTTATTTTTGGCATTTTACTAACGATAAAAAACTTTTTTGTCTTTTATTCTTAATACCCGCGTTTGCTATACATGTAGTTCGCCGAAGCTGGACAGTGTTGTCGGCACTCGGCAGTGTGTCGCTCGTAAATACTCTTCAAGGAGAAGTCATCGTTCTCAAATTTCGGAAAGCCAGTGCTAGCGAAACGACACCAGGCTCATCGGAATCGCATTGCTCCTTTCACGGCGCACAACAGGAACCAACGACAGCAACTGCAAGCGAAAACCACAGACAGAAATGCAGACGAATGCAGGACTGGGGAGATACAGTGCTGGGATGCAGGGTCTGCACGAGGAAATCGAAGCCTTCCACGCCAAAATTCATGCGGACGGTAAAGAAATGAGCAATCGCCGAGCTGCTATCCAGTGCATCACCCGCATCATTACGGCGGAGTTTCCTGGCGTGAGAGTGGAGTATTTTGGCAGCACACTCACGGGCTTGCTGCTGCCTGCCAGCGATATTGACGTGGTGGTCGTGGTGGACAGTCACAGCGGCCCTGCTGCATGGTTACGCGGTTGCTTCGCGGCGCTGCGACGACATTCGGAAGTGAGATTCACCGAGGTAGTGACTCACGCTAAAGTTCCTCTGCTGAAGCTCGTGGATGTGGCCACGGGAATGAAACTGGATCTATCGGTAAGTTTCCGTAATTATATACTGTAACATCCATAAGACGAAAGGGTAGTTGCTATAAATTTGAGTTTTATTGCGCCGGTTGAGGAAAAATTTGAAATTTTGGATCGTACGCGTATTTTTGTTTCGGACAATTTTTATGCAGGCTTCTACAGTATTTTTAATTATATTACGTAAATAATAAATTTGAGCGGTGTAAACCCCGCATCAGCGGCGTACTTTAACGCCCGCGGTTCCCTCGAAGTTTTCAATGTGATCATTTATGCAATATTCGCATCTGCTGCACCCTGGGGCAACCACGTTCAGATGTCCCCACGGGCAGCCGTGCTGGCCATGCCAGGTTGTGACTAGTTTCTACAGGTTGCCAGGTTGTGACTAGTTTCTACAGGTTGCCAGGTTGTGACTAGTTTCTACAGGTTGCCAGGTTGTGACTAGTTTCTACAGGTTGCCAGGTTGTGACTAGTTTCTACAGGTTGCCAGGTTGTGACTAGTTTCTACCGATAGTTCTTACAATGCATGGTGATTCTGATCGTGTTACGCTTGTACGAAAAGTCGAGAACTCATAGTTTTGACGCGCATAACCAGCTGGTAGGTATGTGGATGTTGTTGATGATGTACGTTCCAAGAAGCGCATCCCCATTCCTGTAGTAGTGCGGCTGATTGTAAAATGAGTCGTCCACAAATCTGTGTCGGGCTGTATCCGCTTTCTTGCTGAAACGAGGCACAAAGGTGGACTGCTCACCCACTTTTATGCCGAACCATTGTCGGCGCCAACTGACATAACAATGGCGCCATTGTGTGCTTCAGGCACATCGTGAGACCAACGCATGCCGCCACTGTGAGACAGCGAGACCAATGCATGCCGCCGCCACTCCGGCAGAAAGGTGGAGTAATAATTCACTTATCTCTTAATATGCTCATAACTCTTATTTCCATCCCACCTTTTCCCCAGCTACACATTCAACGTGCAACAAGTTTAAAACCATTGGGTAATTCTACCCTGTGGGTCGGTCAAAGTATTCTGCTTTTGACTATTTAATTTGTAAAAAGTCTAAATCACCACGCAGTACAAGCAGTACAAGCCCCACTGTACAATCATCACAACCCGGAGTCTCGGATTATCTGACACCTTTTTCGTAGTCAGTGCTCATGCAAAAAGCGGAAAACCAAAAGTCAAAGTGCTCAGCAAAGAATTTTATGAAATTCCGTTTTCGATCAGCTGAGTTTCTCTACAATTGTGTTTCAATGAAGTCTCGAAATAAGAACCGTTTTTTCATACTTCCCCGCGAAGCACTCATTTTAAAATTTCTGTTGTAAATTTGCAATGAAACACTATCAAGACAGTTCAATGCACTAACAGTTATTACTGTATTTATTTACAATCGGCAAACGCGAAGCACAAGAATTGCCTAATTATTTGCTGAGGAAACGTGGGGAAACAAGTGGGATGACATTAACAATAAGAGCAGATCTAGTATTATATCTACGTACACCTTGCCGCTAAAGCAGAGGCGGCAGGCTGGGCCGTCGTGAGCGAGAACAATAGTACCGCTGCACCAATTCCCGAATTTTCCGCTAGCCTTGGCGGCAAGCTGCGATCTCGTAATGAGCAGAATGCACTGAACGGCACCATGTTATGTAGATCAATTCGTGATTCTCGCCGAGACTGCAGACTGGCACTGTGTCGTTTTGACGTCACTAACAAACAGGGATATTACAGTGCGCCAACAGGAGAATCATGCATTCGCTCTGTTTCTGTTCGTGTGCTGTCATATGGGAGGTGGTGTAATACCGTGGCCATAGCACTAGCGCTTGATTTAAGAATACTGTAAACATTTTTATCACACGTTTTTGCTCGTTTGCAAAGGATGGTTTTTTGTGAATTTTCATGTATCTGCCCAATTACCAAACCGCATAGTTTGCAAACGCGCGGTATTTAAAAAGTGCCGGGCTCAGCACTTGTTGTTATGGGCCTACGATGACTTCCCGGCGCACCTTAGGCGCACGGCTGCCAACCGCCACAGGGTACCATCCCGGCGAGAATCATCAATCGACGCCGGCATAGGATAGGCAGCAGGGTGTACGCGATTCGGAAGCATAGTGGATGCGTATTTACACGGGCTTAAACGCCATTATGGGTTGTTGACGAATGGCTGTGTTATTTTCATCAATGCACCGGTGCAGTTTGGAAAAATTTCGGTGCAATTTTCATTTGTTCACCGCACCGTCCGGTGCGGTTTTCGCTTTACATCGGTACTTTACATCGTGCTTTCTCGTAAAAAACCGAATCGAAGGCACACCTGTGCACACCGCACCGCATCGTTAGCAACCTTTGAAGACACTAAAATGCTCTAGGCCGTAAACAATAGCGCGCGGATCCTCTGAAGTTCAGAAACGCCGTCAGATATTATGTGCGCGCATTCTGGTGGTTCTAAGAGCTCGTTAAATACAGTCGTTAATCGAAAAGGCATAGAACTTGCTGGTTTGCAGGCTAATAAAGAATTACCTTTATCCATGCGCCAGCAAGACAGATCGACAGAAAAAAATGAGAGAAGATGACTTAACACTCGCCCAGTCCATGTGCCTGAGAGGCACATTTACAGTAATCATTCAGAAATTCATGGGACGTTATCCTGGTAGTTGACTTCTTCCAACATAACCTGAATTCCTCAGAAAATTTGTTAGCTTTGCACTTATTGAAACACTTAGTAAAAATAAATTCCCTGAAAACTTTAAAACTACGAATTGCAACCGCTTCCGGTTGGTGAACAAATGGCAGCCTCCCAGTGTGGCAGCGTAATTTGGCTCTGCTGCGAATTTTTGTAGGAAGTCCTTTGCTCGATTTCCGATTCGCGTTCGCTGACTTACGGAATTCTTACAGCTTCTGAAAATGGCGTCTGTAGCCGACAGGGAGACAGATAGGTTGATCATAGTGTGTGGTGGATGACGTCCACTTTTCAGTCAAAGTCCGGCAGAGTGGAAGATGAGTCTACCAGTCTGCCGGACAGCATCCACTTTCCTGCCGAAGCCAGGTGGAAAAGTGGCGCCTCTCTGAGGGTCAGTAATTACTTTGCAGATTATAATCTGCAGATCCCACATTGTATAAAAGCTTTAACTTGAACTACAAAAAGCAAATTTCAAAAAGCAATTTTGTTGATATGCATCTACGTTTTTGGTGATTGGGATGCGAGCCAGTACAGTGAAACTGCCTGTCTATCAGAATCCAAGTACGCACGTCGCACATTATAAAGCTTGATTGTTCGAAATGTGTGCTTGTAGTGCGCATCCATGTCCAATAATAATCCACCCCAAGGCGTGGCGAACTCCAATTGGATCATTTCCGCAATCAGTCGCTATCCGCTGCTACCGAAACTTGTCATCGTCGTGAAGGAGTACTGTAGCCGCCCGCACAAGTTGCTCCATTGGCAGATCCGGCCGCTGCCTTCTCCCTGCACACACTGCGCTGAACAGCGAGCAATGTGAGGCCAAATATCCGTATACCTCACTCTGTGGGGCAACTTGTGCGGGCGGCTACAGTACCTGCGCCGCCGTAGTCTCCACGAAGTCTACCGCAGGGGAGTCAGCTCCTACACAGTCAATCTGATGGCCATCAGTTTCTTCCAGCACCAGGCCACGGGTAGCAACCTGGGTTCCTTACTGCTCCAGTTCTTCCAGTACTACGGCAAAGATTTTGATTTCGATAAGCAGGCCATCATCGTGACCGGAAACGGTGCGATCATCTCAAAGTCGGATATGAAGCGCCGATTGGGCTTTGTAGAGATGAGCACTTCCCTGAGCATCCAGGATCCGGTTGAGGTAGCTCGAGACGCCGCCGCCCCGTCGCACCGCGGTATGGAAGCATTAAAGAGGGCGTTTCGCGAAGCACACGATGCGTTGCAGCGGGCGGTGGACCGCTCGACGCAAGCTGGGGATTCAGTGAGCTTCCTGGAGGTGATCTTCGACTATAACAAGCGTTCGTGTTATTTGCGCTAATTTTGAATGTGTGTATCTAAGTTACGAGGGAGATACCCGAACACGTCCGCGTCAGATCAGCATACACTTGGTACCATTAGAATCCTTAGAATTTCAGCTATTTCTTTGATAATCAAAATACCCCCAGATAAAGAACTGGAGTTCAGGGATCCCTGAGAAGCCAACACAGGTAAGATGGCTGATTTCCATCGAAACGTCAGCAGACGCCATACAGAGCTATACGGCGCCTTGGTACGGATGCGAGATTGCGCAACCGTCTTTCAGCGACAAGTTCAATAGCGCTTTATCGATAGCTATCGCAGTTTTTTGACTCTGTAAGCGCATCAGCATCGACTGGCTCCGTACAGATCAATGCAACCGCGGATGCTGGTGCGCGCGACAGGGCAAAATAGGTGAGACAGCTGTCAAAGATACCAGTACAGAAACTACAGATTGCAGCCAGACTATTCGTAGCGCATGGCGTAGCTAGGCTGGACATTGCGTATGGCGCCTGCTGACGTTTCGATGGAAGTCAGCCATCATATCTATGCTGGCTTCTCAGAGATCACTAAACTCGAGTTCTTCATCTGGGGGTGTTTTGATTCTCGAAGAAAATAGCTGAAATTCTAAGGATTCTGATGGTACCAAGTGTATGCTGATCTGACGCGGACGTGTTCGGGTATCTCCCTCGTTAATAGAAAGCATACTGACATGCAGCAAGAATACAATTTTAATTATGCTGCCACATTGTTATTTCTTTTGGTGTTTGAATTGCAGCGGTCTAGTACGGAACAGAACTGTTGTTCTTCGTTATTGTACACGTATTTGTTGTACTTGTTATTTGTATTTGTTGTTGTTGTATAGACCAACGGTATTTTTACTGAAACATACTACATATGCATTAAAAACTATTATAGCGTATTAAGACTCTTAGAGATGTGTTTGTGTTCAACTTAATAAAACTAAATTTAATTGTAACACGTTAGAAGAATAACTTACACCCAAGTTTTGCCAAAGCATTCGAATTTGCCAATATGTAGCTGCGTACGAGTATATCTGCATGACCGCCCGTGGCAGCTGGGTACTGGAAATCGCGTTTGAGCTAGGGTTTCAACCAGTGCTTCAGTTTATCATTTCCGTTCATCTTCGGATAGTTGTAATGACTGTCGTCATTTCCTTTGCTCCTTTACATATGGCAGAATAATGCGTCAAAAGCAGTCATAGTCATAAACATAAGAAAGCCCATTTCGAGCATCGGAGCGCAGGATGGATGTTACCGCTTCCGCTTGTTTAGAGCAAATAAGATAAACCGATTAGTCAACCACCTCATTACAACAGACCTTCGTGCTAGCATGTAGTGTTATGCGAAGTTCTGAGCGCGTTTTACCATCATTTCATCAGCCCAATTTTGGTTTTGGTTATTGTCTACGACTATGAGAAGTGATACTAATTTTGTGAGTGAATGCGATCCTGCATATGTCCAGACTGCCGATAGCAGTTCTTATACTACCAGTATGCAAACAGATCTAGAATACATTATCATTTATCAGTAAAGTACTTTATCGGTACTTACCAGTAGACAAAATTAATTTCATAATCCTGCTTTGAACAGTCAAAAAACGAGTTCTGTGCGAATATATTAGCCGAGCGGAGTGGAGGCCCCCTTCCAGGGCCAGGAACGGCAAAAATACTTTCCTCTCATTAAGATTAGATGGGGGAGAATGCGCGGGAAGATTAGATGGAGGAGAATCTAAATGCGGTGGCCGGGATGCTGACGGGATTGAAGGTGATGAGCCAAGATATGGGGCGAGAGGTCAGGCGTCAGAATCAGCAGCTTGATCGATTGAACACCAAGACCAGTGAGACGGATGGTCAAGTACGTGTGGCCATTACACGAGCTAACAATATTTCGCGGAAAACTTAGCTGACAATAGTTTGTAATCGAATGTGCGTCTATTAGCATTAATTTCAGTTTTTTTCTGTTGTCGGTGCCTTATGATTCCCTAATCTTATGAACTATTTGGCCCTGTGTATATAAATTATTTTTGATAGTAAAGTTCGGTTTCCTGCTTGTACGCGAGAAATGCTCAATGTTTGCATTGTACCTTTAAAACTTTTTAAGTATTAGCTATTTTCCTACCTTTTGACAGCTCTCATTTTCTGCTCGTGTTATAATGAAATTATCACTTACCCTGCAAAGTATTGGCCAACAAGCTCAGCTGCGTCCGTCAAGTGCAAATACATTGCATATAAACGGCAAATACAGTGCATTCAAACGGCAGATACATTCTCTCTCCAATTGCTTTCGAAACAATGGGCCCATGGGGACCGTCAGCTATTGCCATCATTAAAGAACAGGGCAAACGACTGGAGCAATTCACACAGGCGAAAGACGTTCCCATGAATTTCTGCGTCAACGACTGTCTCTAGTGATACAACGGGAAACGCTGCATCAGTTTTGGGAACGATGGAAGGAGCAGAAAAGTTCAATGAAATTTTGATGTTGTAAAATTGTGTTGTTTTAAGCTGTTGCATAACCGTTGTACCACAGGTAATGAAAGTCCAGTGCAAATGAGAAATGAGAGTGTGCTACGGTACTTAGTGCGCTGTGCAGCTGCAGTTCGCTGCTATATACTCTACCCGTAAGGTGACTTCAACTTTAATGGACCACTATATTACCTTAAGCGGTGAATACACTTAAGCGGGCCAGCTTCAATGATTTGTTTCCCGAGCTCTACGGCTGTCGGCTTTTTGTTTTCGTGTATTCAGGAAAGTTTGCTTTTTTTGGAGTACTTGAAATTTTTAGAATCGGTTTCCTCATTTTTAAGTTCGCGCGAATCTTGGTATAAAACTGCGACGGATGGTGAGGGAAAAAAACAGTAAATAAAGTATTACAGAAAACGCTATTTCTGGGATGAAACGCGTCGCTACTTAGGCTCTTTGGTGCAACCCTTTGAGTTTGAGATTCAACTCACCAAGTCTAAGGCTTTTTATTGATTTAATTCTTTTTCTTTTTATTGATTATTGATTGAGTCTAAGGCTTTTTATTGAGTAATAGTTCAAAATTGTTTTATGTGAAAAAATCAGGCACGACTGTAGACCTCAAATGCAATTTATTCAAGATAAAAATTACCGCTACTTATCCTTTCGCAGAATAATTGGTAACATAAATCTTTAAATTATATCGTTTCCTTTATCCAGATTGTGCGACTTGGCACACCAATACACCAGATTCTCATATTAAAAGCCGGCAACAAATCCAATCGGCGCTGGCGTAAACATTTCATGGCATTTTGGACACCAAACTTCCATAAAATTGCCGGTATATTCGTTGGCTGGGGACGGTTCCGAACATTTTTGGCAATGATAAGGTAAGCGCTTGATCGAATCAGGCAGCTGCCGAGCTAAAATATGTGCCTTGTTGTACCCCGTAAGCAGAAACTGTTCTCTTTCGTCGTCGCTTAATGCACTTTCTTTCCAATAAACTTCATAATATTTGCATTTTAGCACAGAATTATCAGCTACTCGAAACAAACCGTTGTCGGCAAATTCCTTTCCTTTCGAATTCAAATAAACCAGGCATATAGGGTCGCAGTATATCAGTACAACAGCATGACCGTAAGTCGGTTCATCGCCGCATTCTCCCAAGTCTTCCTTCGTCAGTACGCCTTGCTTGTTGTTTTCGTAGAAATGATCAAAATTTTTCCACTGCTGCATGGTTAAATAATATGTGGCTATCAGAGGGCGCCCGGCATTTAACACTTGTCTAGCCTCGCTTTCAGTATTAGGTTCACCTTCGCCATTAACGGCATATCGGGTGCCGGTTACACGCTCCGATGTGGCATACAGCTTACGATATTCAAGTCGATACTCTTGCGCGAATCTGTCAATGACCTTCTCCGTGTTTGCCGGCTTAGTTCCAAAAGTACCAACGAATTTGTTGTATAGATCTTGAAATGTTGGTACGCCACCATCTCTCCCTGTAGTTAAACAACTATTCACAATTTCGCTCTTGAAAGAAAATTCCGCCCCGAATATGCATTCCGGCAAAACCGTCCGCGACGAATATTCAGTCAGGGTCGTTCAGAATCGATTACAGCAGAAAAAACTGGGTGAGCCACATTTACGGCGGAGATTCTTTTGGCCCACCGGACGGTTTTGCCGGCTTAAACGCACAAGTGTCCGGCGGACGATTCATCTGCCCGGACGGTTTTGTCGGCTACAGTCGTCTACCGCTGGTGTGTGGTACCTGTGTTTGCTTTACGAAACTGTTAGAACACTGACCTTGAATCCTCTTCATAACAAGATGAAAGACAGTTGCCGTTGCGTACGCATAACAGGTGGCATCATACTGTTTATGAGGAGAACGCGCTGCACTCTGTACAGTGTATCTCGTAATTTATATATTCGTCCAGTGCGACCCTGGCAAACAAATTCGCAGCCGCGTCGGCATTGTGCGCTAATGATCGCACCACTATTGTAAAGTCTTCGATGGCTTCCGGATCTTTAACGGGAGCAAACAGTCTAACTTTACCCTCTTCTGGAATCTTCCATTTCCGTCGTCTTAAAAACTGAATAGCAGGGTGCAGGAGAAGAAAAGAAGCGTTGAAATGGTCACCGGACAAACATTAACATCTTGTTTATGAATAACAGACATATTATTTATTTACAAACACTCTAAACATCAATAATTCGGCGTAGCTACAATAAACAATAACATCTGGAACACAACAATAATTACGGCTATAATTACAACAACGTTAAACCCATTACAACAACAAACTTATGTTTTTATTTAGTTAGCTATATGGTTATAATCATAATCCTAACAGTAAATTACGTTATTAACTTAAATTCTTAAACAATAATAATAACTATCGCAATAGTATTCTGTATTTAACTATGATTAATGTTACCATAAAGTAGTTTAGTTTAAGTAAATTATAATGATGTTAGTGCAGTGGTGTTGTTCACACTAAGTATCCAGACGTCGGCTGTTGGATTTCGAGTGAAGTTGTGCA